CCAGGCTGTGGACATTCATACCTCTACACCTCTGTAGATGCAGATACTGTGGAACAATTAATCCAGCAGATGTTCACAGCAGAATCACTGAAGCTTTTTAAGTTGATCTCTCTGCTGCTCAGCTTACTCTGTCCTCCATCCCTGACAGAAAAGAGTCAGTTGCCTTCCAGGGGAGTAGGGTTAATCGAGAAAGACTTGGAGAAGTTCACTGCTTCTGCTGTGAACTTTGAGGAAATAATGCTCCAAAATACCTGCAGCTACAGAGGTCAGTAAGGGCTTGTTTTATATCTCATTTAATTCTTGTTAAGAATATATAATTGCTTAAAGGGACACTAAACTCAGGAGCTAAACTCAGGAGCTAAATTTTAAAAATGTATTCAAGTACCTTAACTATTAACACACAATACCTTATTTGTGTATCACTCAGCTGTAGATCCTCAATTTGTCTCTGAATTGGTGCTGACACTGTCCTTCCTTCTGGCTACTTTTGTTCCCCATGGTCCCTGTGTGTGTTGAAAAGTAGCCATCACTCCAAGTTTACTCTTGTGATGGACTATAACTTTATTACAAATTACTAAACTAAAGCTGAGATTGTAGCCCATGGATTTTGATATAGCCACCCTCCAGAAGGAAGGACAATGTCAGGACAAATTCAGAGATGATTTGAGGATCTACCACTGAGTGATACACAAATAAGATATTTTTTGTTAATAGGGTAATTGAATGCATTTTTAAGATTTAACTCCTGAGTTTAGTGTCACTTTAAATGTCCATAGCCTGACCACAGGAACATTATAAAGGTTTGTCATTACATAACAGTCTTCTTCCACCCAACAACATATCTGAATAAAGGGGTATAGTGTCAATGGATAGGAAGGCTTTACAGAGCCACACAATCTGCTCATGCATTAAATATATCAATATTAAAACAACCTTTTGGCTGTGCCTAGAAGTTTAGATCTATTACAACAGCCAAGGGAGGAGTTGTACAAAGCACCAACATGAATGACGTGATGTACAACACTTCATCCTTGTCTGTTATCAGGAGACACCCTCAGAAGTCTGAGCCAGAAGACATGTCACTTTCATGCAAGAGAGTGATAATGTACAAAAACATTTTTGATGTCTTCCCTTCCCTTATATGAATAAAGCTCTTTTGTTATTTGGTTATTTTCTCCTTAGTTACCTAAATGAACTTCATACTTGTTCTGGCTCCTGATCTGCTTCATGGATTCTCTGATCATAAACTTTCACAGAGCTATTAAAATAGGTGACTAAGAAATTAGCGCAGAAGGGTAGCCTGTGCTGCAGAGGCTGCATGGGGAAGGAGCGTTTATGGGAATCAATGTTACACGCCTGAACACACAAAGTCTATGATTTTTAATACAAATCTACTGTGAAAAAGGCTGCCATTGACAAACTTTCTTTCTGAAAATACAGGTTGCCTGGTCAGTGACTCAACACAAGTATGCCGAAAGTGAGGTCAGAACTCCTGATCTGCTTAACTGCTCTGGGTCATTATATAATAAGACCATGGGACTAGCATGACAACCAGGAAGATTGCATTTTTACAAGGAGAGTGCATCAGTAACAACTCAATAATTTTGTCACAGGATTTATTTATAGAAATATGGAACTGCTAGTGCTAGCCTCCCTCTAAGAATACTAGTGAGTGGCCTGAAAGTTTCAGGCTTCAGTACTTCCAACACGCAGATCCAGAACAGGCAGGCAAATTACAAAGTCAGGGTAAAGACTGAACTCCTGATCTGCAGACTTCTTCCAGGTCAGTAACCCAAGGTATTGAAGCAATTGAATTAGTCTAACAGCCAGACATTTAGCATTTTCAGATGGGAGGAGTCAGTAATGGTAGCTTCTAGATTCCCTTGGTACAGGTTTGTTAATACAGAGGTAATGTGGCTAACTCATGATGTCAAGGAACTACAGTTCCTAACAGCTTCACTTATGAAGAGCTGACAGCTTACTGGAACTTGCGTTTCCTCGACAATTAGAGGGCTTCTATTTTTCTACATACAGTACTTTAAAGTTTGCACATTAATGGTCCCAATTGTGGTGAATACATGGAGAAAAAACACAGCTCTGATGAAAGAGGGAATGGGAATGCGGCAAAGGAGGGTGTTCAGCCAGGAGAGATGACAGACATAACATCAGCTGCTGGCTTAAAACATGTATTTAGACTTTTTTTTACATTATAATAATATTATTTTCTAAGTTCATTTAAAAATGTTTTCTAATATATATA